TCCAAACGTCTTGCAAGTCCATCAAGCTTTGATCCCAGCCTCACCATTGCTTCTTTTCCTCCTAATTAAATCCTCATCTGCACCAAACCACAAAAAACACAAACCCCTCATCCCATTCAACTTCAGCCAATACATTTGAATTATATGATATAAAAGGACTAATGTTTTGGTAGCCACATAAATATAGGTGTTATACTGCCCAGGGCCTTGGTTGAAAAACTACCAGGTTTTGGAGTTCCAAAATCCCCCAAGGCTAGCCAACAACCCCCAGACAGGCATCCTTCCTGGGCTGTGGGAGTCATGACTCCAAACCTAGGGGGAGGTTTGGCAGTTGGACCCAAACCTTTTTTTTGGAGTCAGACCTCCAAAACCCATCCCATCCAGGATTTTGTGGGGTTTTCCCTCCATGGCCAGAAGGGATTCCTGCCAGCCATCAAAGAATGTATGTCCATGTCAGACACTGAGGCTGTAGCCAATGTGTCTACAACCTGTACTTAACCAAAAAGCACATGTACTGTAGTGTATTGGTTAAGGACTGTGTTATGACTATGCCTCACCAACACACTTGGGTTCAAATCCCAATTATGTAATCTTATATTTTTATTTTTATTTTATTTTTATACTTTTATGCTTTAAGTAATTCCACGGAATTACTTAAGTATTTAACTCTGTATTAATATTCATATTTAGAAAGATTATATACATATAGTCTGAAAGCTTAATCATCTCTCTATACACTGTAATTAGAGAGATGACATCATTCTTTCTCCTTTGAGCTTGAATGACATCATTTCCTCCACTTCTGGTTTAAATCTTAATTTAAATACATATTTTGATCATTTATGATTTATATACATAAATGATCCTCTGCAGGCCTCACCGGTCTCACAGGCAGGTTGACCCCTGCCTTTGTAATACTTAAGGGGGAGGTCTTCTTCCCAAGAATCCTCCCCCCAGAGATTATTACCATACAACCCGTTTACCTTACTTCAATTAGTGAGGGGGGTTTTATCATAATCTATAGTACTATTATTTATTATCCCTTTACTTCCCTCCATCCTATCTCAACCCTAGACTACAGTAAAGTCACTACTGTAGCCTAGAAGAGAGCTGTTTGACACTCTAAGCCCGGCGCTGCAAAGACCTTACCGCAAGCGTCCCCTACAACTTCAGGGAGCTTAACCCCTCCGCTTTCTAGTGTTGAGGCGAGGTTTCCTTTCCATTGGCTGCTAGTTAACACTAGCAGTTATAGTGTGACCTTCATTCCATCAATGCCAGGTCACATAAGAGACCCGGCGCTGACAGTCCATCAGTCCAGGGGGACTGGGTGGTTAAACATTTGCCATGCATTGAGTCAATAAATCCATATTTGTCATGCATTTATTTTGGTTCTCATGTTTTCCCACATTTTTTTTCTTCTCTTTGTTCTCATCATCACAAGAATGGCCATACAAAAATACATAAATAAGTATACATGCTCAGATGGAAATAAATCTTTCCCCAATTTGTTCTTGCCTTAACAAGACCAACAGTGGGCCAGCTATGCTAACCTTAGCATGACTAAAATGTACTATTTGTTAGTGTAGTGTTAGTGCAATTCCACAAATCTCCACTAACACTACACACAGAGGGTGCAAAATTGCACTAACACGTAGTGTAGCAATAGGGCAGATTTGTGGAATCATGCTAACACTTAGAGATGTCAGAAGGTACCCAGCACCCGTTTCCGGGTACCTGTTTTCCAAAGCAGGTACCCGGAAACGGGTGCGGATGTCAACATTTGGGGTAAAAAAAAGGCAGTTACCCACCTTACACCTGCCCTGGGAATGCTTCCCCTGAAGAATTTAAATTTTCATTGGCAGTCCAACACTCCCTTATTCGGGTGTGTTGGGCTGCGCAAAGGTGTCAGAAACCTCTGTAGGACACCAGGCGGTGTCCTTCATGAGCTGTGTTAGCGTAGCGGCGCTAAAACGGGCCCTTTTTTTCTGTAGTGTTAGCGTGCCGCTACCGCCGCTACGCTTGGCTTGTTTCTGGGTAGTGTTAGCGCACCACTGCAGCCGCGACGCTGTGCTACAGCGCCTTTAGCGGCAAAAAAGGCAGAAAAAGCGCTGTAGTGCAGCGTAGCGGGCACTTTTTTGTGCCCTGAGCGTGTAGCGTTAGCACAATTCCAACTTTCTGGGCTAAAGCTATGCTAACAGCTAACACACTCTTGTGCCCTTTGCGCATAGCATTAGCACAGAAAGGTGGATTTTTTGCTAATGCTACGCTGCAAAGTAGTGCATTTTTGCTGCGCTACACCGCACTAACGCTACGGTTAGCGTAGCTGGCCCACCATTGCCATAAACCCATGTAGGACACCAGCTGGTGTCCTACATGGGCTTTGTTAAGGCCGGAGAGAACCCTTCAGCCTTTGAGACGGTGTACAGTGATGACTGGGGCAGCTAAATCCCAGATTGTAGTAATCAGTTCCACAACAGCATTGATCTAGCTGGTTCCTTTTGCATTGAAATTAAATAATACTTATCTTTGTGCTCATTCCCTAGTCACAAGACCACCGTCTGTAACTTCTGTCTCCATAGCCTGCATCCACTGCAACTCTTCCACCACAGCTGAACAGGTTATGGTTGCAGTCACACATTGTGGGAAAGCCAAAAAAAAATGGATTGATTAGAAAAATGTGCCAGTATGAATCTATGGTTAAGGCCTCCCGTTTGGAATCAAAGGATCAAGAGCAGTGGTGGAACTTACCCAGTCCTTTGCAGGGTAAAGTTTTGAAGGCCCCTGCGTCCAGCACAGGGATCTGACTTAGCCAAGCTCAATCAATTTACTCGTGCACATGCATCCCGCTTCTCTGCTTGGAACTGGCACCAGCACCAGCCGGTCTGACTTTTGCAACAACTGGAGGGATCCCTCCAGTCATCAAGACTGTACCCGGTCCCAATGGCTGGAGGGTTTCATCCGGCTTCCTCTGGCCATCAAGACCGACTACAGTTTTGCCAGCTGGAGGGATACGTCCAGTCATTGAGCTTGTACACGGTCTCAATGACTGGAGGGATTCCTCTAGCCATCAAGACTGTACAGCCCCTTGACCGAAAAAATGGAACCCTTTAATTGGAGTCTTGAGGGCAAACCAATGGAATTGAATTTATGCTTCCTGGTGAAACTGTGTAAAATAAGTTCTAAAGAATGATTTTGACATATTGGATAGAAAAATGTTTTGTAATTTTTTTTTATATTTTTCCTCATTTTCTGATTTTTTTGACATTTTTCAATCATTTTTCAAAGTAGCTCAAAAATTCAGGAGCATTAAAATTGCATGTGAAAAGAATGATTATAAATGAAAAATTGAGAAAAATCAATGATCAAAAGTTTAGAGAGCTGAAGAAGTTGGATTGAGGATAAAATTGAATTCAATTTCAGTGCCTGATTGGAGGGTTGGTCTGGTGGAGGACACAATCAAAACATGCTTAAAAAAGCTGTTGATCAATTTTTTTTGATTTTTCATTTATAATCATTCTTTTCAGATGCAATTGTGTTGATCATGATTTTCTGAGCTACTTTGAAACATTATTGAAAAATACCAAAAAAATCAGAAAATGGGGAAAAATACACAAAGATTTTACAAAATAATTTCCTATCCAATTTGTCAGAATCATTCTTTAGAACTTATTTTCCACAGTTTCACCAGGAAGCATAAATTTAAGTCCATTGGTTTGCCCTCTGGACTCCAATTAAGGGGTTCCATTTTTTCTGTCAAGGGGCTGTACATACATTGTCTTGATGACTGGAGGGATTAATTTGGTTCTCAAGACTGTACACTGTCTCAAAGGAAGGAGGGTTCCCTCTGGCCTCAACAAAAGCCATGTAAAGCCTCCACACCCGCAAGTACCCAAGTACTTGCCCTGGCAGGTGTGGGTGTCCAAAATATTCTGCGGGTACCCAGGTACAAAGCAACATCTCTACTAACGCTACACGCACAGGGCACAAATATGTCCCCACTACGCTGTGCTAGAGTGCTTTCTAGCAGTTTTTGGGCCTTTTTTGCCGCTAGAAGCGCTCTAGCATAGCATAACACAGTGTGGCAGTGGTAGTGGCACACTAACACTACACAAAAAAAATTTCCACTGTCAGCACCACTAAAAAGTAGTGCAGCGCAGCGGTGGTAGTTTTGCGTTAACACTGCACAAAAAAGGGCCACTTTTAGTGCCCCTATGCTAACACTAAGTGGACCTGTAGCGTAGTTTGGCATAGCCAATCCACTGAGTAAACAAAAAAAATAAGATGTCCAAACCAAAATATTCAAGTTATTTTACAGACAAAAAAAGCATGCACCCTACTGAATTTAGTCAAGAGACCAAATTGATTATTGCATCTTGAGCCCCAATATATAGTCGAGATATCCATATCACACTGTGGCCCCCATTCCGACCAACATAAGATCTAATATTGCTATTATTTATTGTGCTCAAGACAACCACATGATTAGACAAAAGAAGAGACGATTAGTTCTGCTTGCTTATCGAATAAGTTGGATTTACAATCCTGATTTTTTTTTTTTGGCTCGAATTCAAAAAAAGGGGACATATCCCCCTTCCCCTTCCTCCCCGGACCGCTCATGATTGGAATCCAGGATGTTGTCTGGAGACTGGATCTTGACTGACTCTACATAAGCAAAGCTGCCAAACATGGCCCTCCACTATCCACCCATCCACCCCTCCATGTATGCAGCTTCACAACCACAATCTTTGTTCACTCCACCCGACCAGATTCCACATTCCATTGAGTGGAGGTGATGGAATGAAATGTGCAACTGGATTCCTGTGCTCAGATCACCAGCCGCTCTGGCTCTGACTTGCTGCGCACAGCCAGACTCCCACACCACATTTAGGAATCTGTACATACAAAAAAACAATCTCAGGGCCTTTGTGCGCATTGAGCTCAATTGTGACCCTTCCAAAACCATCATGCTCAATGATGCATCCAGGGTAGTGGAGGCAAAAACAGGACCTAGATGTACCACCATCAGAAAAAGCAACCCCTCTTTTTAGGTGTGACTATCTTAACAAAAAAATGGAAGGACCAGAGCCCTTCCCCTAAACCAACAACTGCCCAACAAAGCATCTAAATATAAATGGAAACAGAAATGGACAAATGATTTCTGACAGTAACTTGATGATGAGAAGCATATTTATTTATCTATGTATATGTATGTAATTTTTGAAGATGACTTATCCACATTATACAGTATAACAGCAAAAAAAACCATCTAATACAAAGTTTCAGATAAATCAAATGACAACAGAGGCAAGGTTGGATGATCAAATACAGAGAGAGAGATCAATCATTTAATCATCTACCATGGAAAATATATATTTATATGTATGTATGTATATGAATCAATCAATCATGAAGAAGAACATATATGATTGATCGATTGATTTGACATATAAACCTCAACCAAAAGTGAAAGATTAATGTTTGGCAGACCAAAGAATACAATGAGAGACCGAACGCCCCGGACCATAATTCCAATTCCCTTGTTTGTTTGTTTGTTTTTTTTGTTGAAAATCGATTGAAAAGATCGGATCACTTTCGATGAGATTGGAAGAATTTGATCAACCCTTCGGTGGAAGAGTCATGGCCTTTAACATCAGCCGGCGAGCCGAGTTGAGCGAGGATGTTTTTAGCAAGAACTTTGCCGAGTTCCACACCCATTTGATCAAACCTATTGAGACAGCATGCGGGGTTTGAGTCTTCAGTTATAACCTCATCATATTTTCTAAGACGCTTACGAGTTAATGCCCCAGATCACTCCCTGAACAAAGATCTTATGCTCGTATAACGCCAATAAACCTCCTAAGAAAAGAACAAAAGGCCTCGTGAGTTTTCTTCGTTTCAACTCATCTCTTGGAAGCATTTGCTTAGTGTAAATGAAATTACTAACCTAGTGTACCAGGAGTAAGTTTCTGAAACATGATAGAATTGGTTGGTTTATTACCTTCGAAGACCTTACTCTTAGCCAACGATTCATTTGAAGCCGCTGCGCCGAGCTCCTACAAAAGAAAAATCACACCAATTTCTCAGTCCCTCCTGCAAGAAAGACAATGGAGTGGGAGCATCATACCTTCTTAACAGCTGCCTCATCTTTCCCAAATGCCAAAGCTTCGGGTTGAGCAAAGAAGTTAGACAACAAGATTTCATGATGACGACCTCCACCGATCGGATTCAAGGTCTCAACGGGCGCCAGAAAGTCGCAGGGAATCAGCTTGGTACCTTGATGGATCAATTGACTGAAATAAACAAATCAATCCATGTTAGTTGAACGGCGATCAAAATCAAAAAAAAAGTGATCGAGATGTACTAGAATGCATGTTGTCCATTTGTTCCGGCTTGTCCCCAAATGATCGGCCCTGTTTGATACGTCACCCGACGCCCATCCTTAGTAATATATTTGCCATTACTTTCCATGTCGCCCTAATAAGCAAACCAAAACCAAGCAATACCAAATTATTTGGTCAATCGTCTGTTACTTGATACGGGTTGAAAAGAGCTAGACTCAACTTGTTGAAAATAGTCTGCAAACTTGTGTAAGTATTGGTCATATGGTAAGAGGGCATGAGTTTGAGCACCATAGAAGTTATTGTACCTGGACAAACAAACAAACAAAGACAGCGTTCAGTAGGGCCCATCTAAACAGTATATAGATTTTGATGCTAACCAAATTCCAAGCAGAGCCAGAATGACGGGCAAGTTTTCTTTCAAGGGAGCAGCCTTGAAGTGACGATCCATAGCATGAGCCCCCTTTGTGGAAAAAAGCAACAACAACAACCATCAACAATGAGATACAATGAACAAAATTGGAAGAAGGAGAACTAAAGTAGACTGACATGCAAGACTTTTTCGAAATTCTCGAACCCGATGTACAGAGCAATACTCAAGCCGATCGCACTCCATAGACTGTATCGACCACCCACCCAATCCCAGAACTTGAACATGTTGGCTTTGTCGATCCCGAAGCCAGTGACCGCTTCGGTATTCGTGGACAGTGCAACGAAATGCTTGGCAACATGAGCTTTCTAAGAAAAGAACCTCCCACAAAAGAAGAACACAGGGAGGTGAATGGGGTGAGGAACAAAAAAAAGGGGGGAGAGGGTGGAAAAGGTTTTTGAGACTGACTTCTTTGGCGAAAGAGAGGAACCATTCCTTGGCACTGTTAGCATTAGTGAGGGTTTCTTGGGTGGTGAAAGTCTTACTGGCGACGATGAAGAGGGTAGTTTCGGGGTCGCATTTCCTCAAGATCTCAGCGAGATGAGTGCCATCGATATTGCTACAAAAGTAGGGAGTGATAGTGGGCCCTGTACGAGCATAGAAACTGAGGGCCTCGGTGACCATGACTGGGCCGAGATCGGAGCCGCCGATGCCGATGTTGACGATGGTATCGATGGGCTTGTTGGTGTATCCCTTGTGGGAGCCCGATCGGACGGCCTCGCTGAAGACCCGGACATGGTCGAGGACGGTCTTGACTTCAGAGACGCCTTCTTCGTTGGCCCCGTAGCCCTGGTTGGAGGTATCACGCAGAGCCACATGAAGCACGGCACGTTCCTCGCTGGTGTTGATCTGTTCTCCCGCAAACATCTCGTCCCTCGCCTTGGTCACCCCGGCCTGTTGGGCGAGTTCCAGGAGCTTCTCCCATACCTGTTGGTCGATCAGGTTCTTGGAGTAGTCGAGGAAGATACTCGTCTCCGTATTCGGCGATTCGAACCGGGTCGAGAACTTCTTGAATCGCTCGGGATCGCTCGAGAAGAGTTTCGAGAGCACTAGCTCTGAGGGAGCCTTTTGATCGTATAGCGTTTGGAGCTCCTTCCAGGCGGGATAATCTGGCGGTCATCCATCATTCATCATCAGCCGGGACCGAGAGAGAGAGAGAGAGCAAAGCCCGGGAGAGATCGGAAGCAAGATCAATATGAGAATAGAATGTGTATTCAGAGAGAGAGAGGCATACCAGTAGCGAGTTTGCCGGACATGATGTGTATGATATGAATATGTATGAATATGTAGTGATACAGTGGGGTTCGGAAGTAAAGGGTTTTTGGGTTGGCTGGCGAATCACAGGATTCAAGAGACAGGCCTTGCAGGAGCGATGACGTCAGTGAGCTCCGCTGACTGGACTTCAGAGTTAAGGAGTCAAGACCCCGTGGAAGACTGGGAAACCCCCCGTAGGATACCCACCTCTTGCCTCACAAATTTACAATCACAGAGCAGCTGCAGCACAGAGCAGCCAAGGAGGGTACATAGACACAAGACTTTTCTGATTGCTCCCAGGTTTTTAGGCCCCTATGTATGTACTGATGGGACAGCTGGCTCATGAAAAAAAAAATGAATTGCAGATAGGAACCTTCCACAAAAGGACATTATACTAGGGAGTTGGTCAACCGACTCCCAAATATTGGAGAGTCGACTCCCAAACCCGGGTTTCCCCGAAATTTGGGAGTCAATTCCCCAAATCCATCCTTGGGTTTGGGAGTCGGCCCCCCAAAAAATTTAAATAAAAAAAAAGAAAAACCCCGGAGGGGTTGGGTGTCGATGCCCCAAAGCCAAGTGGTTTTGGGGGGTCGGTGATCAAAAAAAAAAAAAAAAACAGTGGCCGGGAGGATTCCTCCCGGCCGCGGAGAGTGCTCTCTTGACGGCCGAGAGAGTTTCTCTCAGCCGTCGAGGGTCTACAACCTCAACGGCCGAGAGGGTTTTCTCTTGGCCGTTGAGTATAACCCTCAACGGCCGAGAGTTTCTCTCGGCGATGGAGGGTGTACACCTCAACGGCCGAGGGAAACTTCTCGGCCGTTGAGACCCTCGGCCGTCGAGGGTGTACCCCTCAATGGCCGAGTAAAATTTCTTGGCCATTGAGGGTGTACACCTCAACAACCGAGAGGGTTTCCTCTCGTTCGTTGAGAATGTAAACCCTCAACGGCTGAGAGTGTACCTCCCGGTCGTTGAGGGTATACACTCTCGACGGCCGAGAGGATTCCTCCCGGCCGTCAAGGGTTTACATTCTCAACGACCGAGAGGAAACCCTCTTGGTAGTTGAGGTGTACACCCTTGATGGCCGAGAGGTTTCACTCGGCCATTGGGGTGTACAGCCTCGACAGCCAAGAGCTTTTTTTCGGCTGTTGAGGGTTATGCCCTTATGTAACGCCCGAGAGAAACTCTCTCGGCCGTCGAGAGAGCACTCTCCGCGGCCGGGAGGAATTGTCCCGGCCGCTTGGTTTTTTTTTTTTGATCACCGACCCCCCAAAACCACTTGGTTTTGGGGCATCGACACTCAACCCCTCCGGGGTTTTTCTTTTTTTTGATTTAAATTTTTTGGGGGGACCGACTCCCAAACCCAAGGATGGATTTGGGGAATCGACTCCCAAATTTCGGGGAAACCCGGGTTTGGGAGTCGACTCTCCAATTTTTGGGAGTCGGTTGACCAACCCCCTTATACTATAGAAAGCTGCACTGAATCTCAAAAAAAAAAAAAAAAAAAAAAAAAGAAAACATTACCAGAACCAAAAGCAAAGAAAATTAAGATATTTACATACAATGGAGGACTTCTTATAGGCATTATATGTAGACCCTAAAGAACCAGATTTGAATGCATTAAAGGCAGATTTTGCAGGGAAATCTGATTCAAGGGCCGACAAATCTGGTTTTGTAGGGGCTACGTCATAACCATTGAGAAGTCCTCCAATAAATAAATTCAAGAAAGTGAAAGAGTAAGGCTACAATTATAAACAGGTTTTTGAGATTTTTTTCAAAACGTTTTGAAACCATCTTAAAATTTGTTTCTTTTACTTTTTTAGTAAATTGATAGCTCAATCAGTTTTCAAAACTGATTTGATAATGATGTGTAATCATAAACCCAAGGCTCTGATGTAGCCCACAAACCCCTGGTGGTTCTGACATTTGCAGACTTCTCTGCTCAGGACTCTAACCGACGGACTGGGGAAAGGGGCAACATCCGAGCCGGAAAGCTGAATTCGAGGTAGGACCAGAGAGTGCCGCTATCGGCCGCTATGCAAGGGTGGTGATTGGTGTTTCAGCACAAGGGTTCTGTAGAATTTATCCTAGTACACAGACCCGTACACAGACCTCTTGGCCGTTGCAAAAGATGAGAAATGTTCAAAATTTTAAAAAAATCAAACTCAAATCGACCCTCCAATTGCCGATTTGAGATCTTTTTGAGAAAAAACATCTCAAAGTAACTTTTGAGATCGAGTTCAAAACAAACTCAAAAGATTCTCAAAAAAAAAAACTCAAAAAGCTGTTTATAATTACAGCCTAAAGTAATATTGATGGAGCAGCAAAGAAACAAATGAAACAGAGCAACACGGAAAGTGTTTGCTGCGCTTCGAGATGACCACAGGCTTGGCCGCAGCACGCACATCTATTCCGGTGGGCGAGGAAGGGGGGCAGTCCAAACAGACCGGACTTTCCCGACCAAACATCCAAAGAAAAAGGAGAAAGATGTACACCGTCGGAGGAGGAACAAGATGACCAACCATGTCCCAGCCCCGCCGCCCACCGAGCCAGGAGGACCATCACCATCACCATCACAAGAAGAAGAAGAAGAAGAAGAAGTTCTGTATGCGATATGTGGCCGTCGCTCGGTCTACGAGCTGAAGCTGGTCTTGAAACGCGCCTCGATCTTCCAGCCCGAGCTTCCGATAATCCACGACCGGCGGACCGGCCAGACGAAGATCCCGACGAAGCTGATCCGGCAGCCAACCAAGACGACGACGATGAGCACTGGAAAGGAGGGGACGGAAGAAGAAGCTCGGCCGGTCTCGGTCGATGATCCGGCTCTTGTCGGCCTCCTCCCTCCGACTTTGATCAGCTCTGCTCGCGATCTCTTGGCCGGCTTTCAATGGATCATCCCCTCCTCTTCTGTCTCCGATCATGACTCCCCAAAGCGCGCTCCATCACGACCACTTCGCGCCTCAGCATCGCCCCTGCAGCGCGTCATCCAGACCTTCTTCGCCCCTCAACTGACACACACCTTGCTCCCTCAGCTTCCCAAATGGGAACTCTACGACGACTTCTTGCTCTTCCAACCGAACGCCTTCCTGGCCCCCTCTTTCTCCGCCCTTCTCCCGCAGGACGATCCGCACATCAGGGCGACGTTCTTCGCGGCCATTGCCGCCGAATTCCGGGTCTCTCATGTGGCCCGAAAAGGGTTGATCTCGCGAGACGATGTCTCCCGACAACCGCGTCTGGACCCCTTACATGGGACATTCATCCGATCCATGGCTTCCACCGACGCGCGAGGGAGCCCATCATTCGAGGAGGTCTTCTGGACCGGCACCCGTTTCCCGACCGCCCAAGGGGCCATCCACTACGTCTGGGCACCCAGCGAGACGATGTACAGTCGAGGGAACAGTCCCGAGAAGCGGCGGATAGCCGGGCTGAGCAATGTTGCAGGCTCGGTGGTCGTGGACATGTGCTGCGGGATTGGCTTCTTCGCATTCGGCTATCTGCTCGCCGGGGCGGCCCAAGTGCTCGGCTGCGAGATCTCGCCCTGGGCCGTCGAGGGCTTACGTCGAGGCGCAATCCTCAACAAGGTTCCTTACGAGATCGTCGATCCAAACCACGACCAGCTCCCCGCCGATCTCCTCGACTCCACCTCCGCACGGCTCGTGATCTTCCCCGGAATGAACGAGCTAGCCTTGCCCATCTATCGCCACAGGGCCACCCATGTCAACCTCGGACTACTGCCCAGCTCGGTCCAGTTCCTCCCCCAGGCCGTCCTCGCCCTCCGCCCCCAAGGTGGCTGGATCCATGTCCATGGTGAACTCGCCGTCGGTGGTGGCCCCGCCGGAAGACTACTCGGCGCTAAGCTTTGGGCCGACGAGCTCGTCCAACTCGTCCTCAGTCTCGGTCGTCAGTCCGCTAAAACTGTTGGCATACATTGGATTAAATCTATCGGACCCGCTAAGGAACATCTTGTCGTTGAATTGGAGGTCGGCACCATCAAAAATAACTAATATATATAACTCGCTGGGTTTTTCCTCGTGCAGAACTATCCCTGCCTCAGATGTTAAACTTGTTGAGATTATTGGAAGACCAGGTCGGTTTGAAAGTTACACTCCCTAAGATTTTTGTGCCATCAATACCTATTACAGAAGGGTCTGTTGATAGAGGGAGCCAATGCGACTGAGCATCCCAGATTGCTGGGCAAAGAAGTCTCATAGTTTTTGGCGTTGTAGTACAGCAAGTGGTTGGATTAAGTAACATACTCTATGAAAGAAAAACTAAAGCGGGAACCGACTGTCGGTCTTTGATCTGAAGAAAACAGAAGAGTTTGTACATAATATCCATCCGCCAGACATTCCAGAAACTTATCAGCCTGCAATCGTCCACTGCCCAATTGGCCGAAAGTACGCGCGCAAACTAAGTAGTGCGGTTTTTGTCATGTTAATCAAAGCGTCGCATAGCCTTAGCCGCCAGTGTTCATCTCAAAGGATGAGCTCTGGTGTACCCATTTTGGGGCGGCCTCAGATTCGCCAGGCCCATTGACGTCTTCGGTGTAACGTTTTTCTTTTTTTTTTTCTCTCTCTCTCTCTCTCTCATTATTATCATCATTATCAGTGGTTTTTTTTTTCTTCTCTTTGAACTTATCCCTCTTTTCTGTTTTCTCTCTCATTTCTATATTCTTCTCAACACTTCGTTATAGCAGACCTATGTAATTCAATAGAATCATGATTGAATCAATGCTGAAAAGTAATCAAATTTTCAGCAAAATTCTCAGATAACTGGGAGGATTTGATCAGGAGGAAGCTTGGGTGGAATGGCAGTTTTGTTTTCTTTTCTTGGAATTAAAGAGAGACTGCAAGGGGGGAGGGGGAAGAACTCAATATGTACAAAGAATCCAAGACATCTATTCTTGACCACTACAAGGTATTGAGATATACCCAGCACATAGAAAGAAAGGAAATGGACAGCGAGTGTGTTTCTCTACAAAGGAATGTTGTCGTCGGATTGAGATCAGACCCACGACCGAGGAGTTGCGGAATCTTTCCAGAGCTGATCGAGATGATTTTTGATCCGATCATAGTCTTTTGTGCGAGGGCTGATGAGCGGATTAGGGAGGAGGTTACGGAGCAAGCCGGGGTGATCAATCTTGAGGAGCTGGATTGAATGGAGGCCGATTTCGGAGGGGGGGAAGCCGAAGAGGACGAAGACTTGGTGGAAGATGAACTGTTTATCGGTTGGGCTTAGGAGGAGGAAGTCGTCCAACAAGTAGCTGAGGATGGGGAGCATCCGGACCTTATATCTCGACCCGTTCTCGTTCTCGACGTATCCCATCAATTGGCTGATGTTTAATGGCCGTCGTCTGAGGTTCTTATTCTGGTCGAGCGAGAGCAGCCTGAGCAGCTTGGGCGCCAGCATCCTCACCTCCGCATCCGTCATCTGCAAGGCCGCCGTCTCGGAAAACTGCAGCAGGTCGCCAAGCGCCACTAGCTCCATAAATTCGTTCTCACTCAGGTTCTTGTCTACCAGCGATTTGGTCCACCAGATCGTCTTGGGTCTGGCGGATTGTTGCAAGGACCACAGGAATCGGGCCCCGTTTTCCCGGAGCGCTTGGTCCTCAACCCCATCGACGAAATACTGTTTGATCCAGTTACGGATGGCCTTCTTCTGTTTCTTCGACAGGCTTGTGTAGCTATCATTCTGCTCCAACCAAGGCTTCCAATTATCCAAGGAGATCGGGCTGTTTCGATGGGTAGTGAGCAAGACGCTTTGGTCGCCCGCCACTTTCTGGAGGAGCGGCTCCTTGGCGAAGTATTTGTAGAGCGGGATTCCATCTGGGTTGGGCATCAGATGCACATAGTCTCGGTCGAGTCGATTGAATGCCGGATGGAGAGCCACCGTGCCCGGCGAGGGTGGGCCAGCAGACCCATGCGAAAACCCAGTCACCACGTAGTTGGAGATCTCCTCGGCGGCTTCCGTGAAGTGGGCACGCGTGATATTGGCTTCCAACGATTTGGAGAGAGCCAAGACCGCAAGAACTATGAAGGGGAGCAAGTTGGACGGCATTTGTTGGATGCTTTGATTTGCTTCGAACGAATCTAGCAATTCCTTCTCTGGGGGAATTCATTCATTTTAAAATCCCTTTTTTATAATACATTCCCCATCAGTTGGTAGTAGTACAATGTCGGCCGGCCCAAAATGGCTGTTTCCGCCGGCAAACATCACTGCCGAATCCCCACCGGGCGGAGGGTGGGTGGATCCATCGAAACACATCCCAGTTGCATGGAAAACCTCGCACCATTCCACTCACTGACCTCACAAAAGACTGGTTTCAAGAATGTCTTGGTGTTTAAAACGCTTCAATTGTTTGTTTCGTTTGACCCGATATGTAGTTTCATATTGTATTTCCCATGCTCTCAGGGGTACATCATACATGATGTCTGACTAACCTCTTAGTAACAACTTTAAGAGGAGTTAGAAAGACTTACTCCAAAAGCAGGATATCAAAGTAAGAATCAATTCAAGTCGAATGGAGGTGAAGGGGATCCAATAACAAGGATGTAGATCGAAAGGAAGAGAGAAAGAAACGTCATAGGAAGAAAGAGATAAAATGAAAAGAAGACTGGGCTAAGAGCCTCAGCCACTGGCCTCCAGACATCTTGTCTGAGTGCAGCAAGTCCTACAATATTTACATGGGTTTGGTAGAGTGTAAACTCTAATAATCTCTGGGACATCTCTTGTTTCAAGAATCCGCTTGGTCTTATTTGTGTTCAGTTCTTTAATGAGCTTATGAGAGCTTATTCCTCAGGTTTCAAGCCTTGTTGTGCGCCAAAGTGTCATGAAACTTGGGAGATCACCAGGAATCGGTCCGAAGTAAAATAGTAAGGTTCCCAACAAGTCATGCAACCAATTACTGGCTCAGAATCATGACTGTGATACTGGCGAGCAGTAAGGGAGAGAGCAGCTGAGGTGTTCTGTTATATTACAAGATATCAATCAAATCGAGATCTGTGAAAAAGGTATACATACACATCTCAATATATTTATAACGTGAGGCGAGTCTCTTGAAACAGAGGCTCGTGGAGAGACCAAAAAAAAAACGGGGACAGCAATCACGAAAAGCCGGCTTTCCAACCCAGAGAGTGCAAGAGAGGAGGAATCAAGCTCTTTTGCGTTGCCGACCAGTTTGCAAGAATTTTTGGCCTTTCCCTTCGGCGGTGCATTGGGGACAATACCACTTGCCTATTGGCGTCTCTTTGAGACCCAAACAAGAGACATGAAACCATTCGTATTGACAGGTTTTATTATCACAACCAATCATCTAATACCAGCAAAAAGAAAGAAAACAAAAAAAACCGAGAACGTAAGCGGAAAGGAGACGCGAGAGGGAGAGAGACAGAGACAGAAAGACGAGTGGATGATAACGTACCTCGCCGTATGAAACCTTTTGGCAAAAGCAGTAAAGCGTGGTATCGTCTCCAGCGTTACTCTCTTCTCCCTCATCGCCCTCAGCTTCCTCGCCTGGGCCGTACTCGATTGCGGCCATATCTTCGGTTTCTTTGGGCTGCATGGATGGCATGTGAATACGAAGGGTTTGGCGTGCCTGGCCAGCCCGACGCTTGTTGGCTGAGATATTATGATGATGATCAGTTAAAGGCGGTAGGATGGAGGTACGAGAAGGTCAAGAGGGACACACCTTGGCTGCTCGCTTGAGCTGAAGAACTCCCTCCTATGGCTGGAAGTTGGGTGGGCGTAAAGGTGTGCGGAGATGGTGTATCGATGGAGAGTTGTTTTCGCTCTAGCAACCATCGACAAAAGATGAAATAAATTCCCAGTCATAGGTATGCAGTGAAAAGCGAGAACGACTGTTTGTGAAACATACTGTTACTACGAGATGCTTCAGAGGCTGGGGCAGGAGTGCCAGCAGCATTTGATGCGCCGTTGGTCAAGGCATTCAATGAGCCTGGGGCCGTGGGCGGCTCCGATGGCTCTCTTTTGAATTCGGGAACCTCGACTCCAGTCGTTGCTGCCAATTTAGCGAGCTCTTGGTTAAGTCGTTCAAGGTGTCGAGTGACCTGGGGATCAAACGGAAAGCAATCAGAAGGAGTGAGACCCACACAGTCTGGCATTTGAGCGGTCCGGGAGCTCAAACGAGGGTCAGGACAACGTGAGAAAATCAGAGGGTTCGTACCAAGTTGACTGCTCCAGAAGCGAATTTCTCCTTCTCCTTGCTCAACTTGATCGCATCGTCATAATGAGCGAGGGCCCTTTCGATGAGGACGGGCTCTTTGGGATTAGGAGTCAAGAGGTTATTGGGAGCCTTATGAGAATGTCGAACGATGGAGCTTTGTTTTGAAGCCGCCTTGCGCCGCGATTCGTCGACCGAATACCATTTCTTATTCAAACCGGACTCTCCGTTGCCCGCTTGAGAAACCGGAGGTTGGTCATCCTTGGCCGACTTTTTCGCATAGTCTAGATAAGCTATCTCGCACAATAGATGTCCTACCTCTGATGGTAGGTTCGCCAACGAATCGACAAAATCCTATTCGATTTCTCAGAAGAATTTGCGCATCATTATCATTACTATTCTTACTTTCCAATCAACACTCGATGGACTGATTGATGATAGAGGGAAAGAATTGAAGCTCGGTTAGCCATCACTGACTTGGAGGAGAGTGTGTGTAGCATCTTCCATCTTTTTTTTTGGTAGAAACTGTCCTGTTGACCGAGTCGAGATATTTCTGGCAAAGAGGGGACTTGGCTGAGGTGAGGTTGGGCTGACGAAAGGGCGGGCGGGGCACGACAACAATGGGCTAGCCTGCCTCCCCGGGGCCCGGGGTTTACCCGAACAGGGCTCCCCTTAGCTCCGGGTAGCGAACCCGAATCGCCTGCGCCTCCTGCCCCACGCTCACTTTTGACCTCTTCCGGAGGTTGGCAGCTGATTCCGATGAGAGGCCAGAAATCTTTTGAAGCATGGCTGTGAGTACACTTTGATGATTAAGGGATTCCACAAATTTCCCTCACCTTGCCCTTCCCAGCCACAAGTTGGTTAGAAAGCCAAACCTTCTTGCAGAGTACACCGGGCTCAATGGCTACAGGCTGGGTGGCAAATGTTGGAGTGAGAGCTCGGGAGATCGATAATTTTCATTAGTTTTAGTTATGAAAATCACTCTTATAGACTAACTACAAATCTGTGACATGTGTCGCAGTCGAGCCCTATGACTATGTCACAACAGCAAAGACGTAGAGAGGCTGTTTTTTCTATTTTTCGGTTGGATTTTCTTTTTTTTTTTTTGGATTGACAGACTCATTATTATTATTTTTTCTATGACTCTCATAAAATCTCAAGAAGAATATGTACAATAATATAGGATAAAGATAACATCATTATAAACCAATAGGAAAGACTTGAAAGACCTAAGATATGGGACCAGTGTGTGGCACCGTAAGAACAGTTATATACTTCGAGAGAAGAAAAGAGGGGCTTGTGAGACTACGTAGAACCCATCATAACAAGAAGGAGAACGGGCGCATAGAAAAAGAGTGACTAAATAGATGTATAACAGGTCTTCGCATTTTAAAATTAGATAATCAACAAAAAAAAAAAACAAGAATACAAGGCGATAGAGGACATAGGCTGGGGATCTTCAAGCTTTTCCCAATTTGGCCAACTCCGCTTCTATCCTTGCATAGTCGTCTTGGCCGGCCGATTTGGGTTGGGGGGTGAGCAGATTAAAGAACGATTGGCGGTCTTTCATGAGAGCGTTCTTTGCGGATTGGATGATTTTGGAGGGAGGCGAACCGACGACCAAGTTGAGGTCTTGCAAGATCCTTTCTCTCTGATCCTGATCTCTGCGGAAGAACTTGCGCAGAGAGACCTTCATGAGGTAGCCGACTCGAGATTGATACATCGGCACATTATCGCGGTCTTTAAAACCCATCAGTTTCTTGATATCCAATGCCTCTGTTCTGGGTTGCTCGTCTTCGCCCAGATAGAGGATTTTCGTCAGCTGGGGAAGGATCTCGGTTACTTGCTGGTCACTGATTTTGAAGTCGGCTCTCCGGTCGAAGAATTTGAGCAGATCGCCCGCCTGGATGATGTCGATATATCCATTATGTTTCGGGTCCGCGCTGTCGATGAGCGACTGAGGCCACCAGATCGAATTCTTTCTGCCGGATTGCATCAGGGACCAGATGTGAGCGATCACGCGTGTCCGGTACTTTGGATCCCAATGGCCATCGTGGAAATGGCTTTCGAGCCAGAAACGGATCTCTGCTTGGTGATCGGGCTCAAGACTCAGATAGCCTACGCTCTGCTGTCTCCAAAGTTTCTGATTCTCGGCAGATATCGGTGTCATGACACCCTCTGTAATAGCTTTCTGTTGCTCCAAAGCCACTTCGCGAAGTGCAGGACGACCGCTAAAATATTCCTCTAGTGATCCTACTTGGGAGTGCGGAGGAGCCTCAAAATAGTCATGGCTTGTGGCTGGAAAATTCAAGGAATGTTTGACGACGTGAAGCGGACGAGTAAAGTGATATGAAGGAGCGGATTCGGGGGAAGTCACCGTGTCTTGGACTGGTGGGGGAGCCTTTGGATCATCAGGAAAAATCAGCCGAGGTTTAACGTTGTAAAATTTCCCAGGGTGTGGAGGCATAGGAGTTGTTGGATGAGGGGCGATTGTGACGAGGTCGGGAGGTGATAATGGAGCCGCACGGGCACGATCAGGAGCTGTTGAGGGTATATAGACCCGGTCGAATTGAGAGGGGTTCGGATGAACCGGATTTGCGACGAAACCCATGAGCCCATGGCCGGCCTCTGTGATGTAGGTAGCTGGGAGGGCGGCTTGAGAGAACTTGGAGAAAGAGACAGCAAGAATTATGAAGGGGAGTAGAGCGGACACCATGTTTGGTTTGCTCAAGGTAGATTGCAAGTTTTGGGCTCTGCTACTATGGATGGAGATGGATGGCGGAACACAATCCGGACCGGCCTTTTATATTCTGCCATCCTGCCGGCAGCCCTGATTTCCGATAGAACAGAGCCCACGCGACAACTCATGAGACCATATCCACACATCTCAGACCTACCGTAAAACCACCAGGAGTAGGATTTTCCAGTATGTATGCAGCACAATGCGTGGATCAGATACTGGATCAGACACGTTAAATGACCACCTGAGGCTGGGTTTCAAGAGTAAGATTGCTTCTTGGATCATGGTGGTCTTGCGGGAGAGATGGAGGGAGAACAGGGAAAAGCGTTATCAGAGTCTCAGTATCTTTGGCAGTATGTATGCGACAGGAAGTTGTTTCACTATAGCTGTGGCTGACGCAGATAAACATTGGCAGTCCTTGGGCCAGTGAAACTGCTCTGTATGCAAGTCACCAAGTTAAATCTTCTGAGAAATGACCGAAGGCGCGCGTAAATGGTATCAAGGCACACGGCAAAACTGAGTCCATTCTGATAGTATACCTCAAGGCTCCAGCGGGGCGACCAGCTCGCAGGATGTTCATTCTAGCACCATGCTGATCTCTTGAAAACTCATGTGGACCCATTCATGATGAAGGCACCCACCTGTCGCATGGTAGTAGTCCGTCGGAGAACTTGCAGGGTGATGAGAGAAGCTTTGGAAACTCATTCGGCAGGGATTAATAGCTTAGCCGGACGCGTTTGGTTGGCTACAGGTCGCGTGCATATTAACCAGGCAAAGGCAGCGATATAGTTGCAAAGGTAGCAAGCGATCAATAAGCTTTAAGCAGCATCACCAACCTTGAGCTAACTCAAGAAAGTCCCTGCCCCCCTTTGTGGAAGTCACAAATGGTCACTTCACATGCACAACAATGATCACACTGAACGACGATGAGAATAACTCTTCTTTCGGTTGCTCATTCATTCTTCTTCTTTCCTCACTGTTAATTCTAAATAATAATAGTTATATATCGAGATGAAAGTCTTGCATTTTAGTTTGTTTTATGTTTTTGACAACAGGCCTTAAGCTATATATATCATGTAAATGTAGCAGAATTTCAATCATCAGTTTTTGAGTTCGAACTGTACCGGACTCGAAAAAAAATTCTTCTTCATCTTTCAAGGGGTTTTTTTCTTCTTCTTTTGTCAACAAGTTTCTAGTAAGACTTTTGTATATAAATATATGTGTAGCAAAAAAGAGAAAGAAAAGAAAGAATCAGTAATAAAACAGTATGAAAAGTCGATCGTTGTCGATCTTAATAAGGCCGAACACAAGGAAGAAAGAAAAGGGGGGGGGGGCGAGAGAAGTCAAGTATAGATCGGCTTGACTTCTACCACTGGACTTTCAGGGGTAGAAATGGTTCCTAAGCTCTTAGGACCACAGATAGGGATCTGTTGTTCCTTTCGAAAGACCCCTACTTTTTTCTTCAGATGTTCAACCTCGTAGCCACCCTCGATCACACCAACTCGCAGCATAGCCAACAAGTTGTGCGCGGCGTTGGAATGATCTATAAAATCAAGATGATCATGCCCGATCAGCATCTTCAAAATTTAAGAGCTATCTGAAGGTGGAAATCGACTTACCGTAAACTCCACCATGGAAGGCCGTGGTGGCATCTTTACCAAGTCGGGTTTTGATGAGTGCCCGACCTCCGGGATGCTCGTCGATAAACTCAGTCACATCATGGATGAAACCCCCGACAACGATCAAATCACGTCCGTTCTTTTTATCAGCCTCTTCGACAAATTGTTCCCATGTAACGATCGGAAGGTCGTTGGAAGACTTGGGCCACTTGACGTCTCGGAAATCTCGCTGGAGTTCCTTAAGTTTCATACTGTATTGACCTTTGCGAACCTCGTTATCCGGGAAGGTTTTGAGCTCAGAAGCTAGTCCGAGGAAGGCAGCGACAGCGATGAACCATTTGGTTGGGTCGTATTGGTACCATCGAATGGCATTTCGGAAGTCCTGAGGAAATTCGTGATGGCTGCATAACAACAGTACAGACAGATTGTTCAGATTTCAATCATAGCAGAGGCGCTCAGGATCAAAGCTCGAAGCAACTTACAAGTTGTGATAACCTTCTCCAATTGTGACAAAGGCGGTAATGATGTGATCCCTTGGAGTGTGTTTATCATCAAAGGGAGCCTCTCCAAGCCAGTGAGCCAGAGAGTTCACACAGAAAGTCGAGTGGTGAACAAACAATAATCTAGCGGCCCCAGCGTAGAAAAATCCGCCTCTCCAATCACCCCATCCGAGTCCAGCGACAAGAGTGGGGAAGAAGAATCCCATGCCGAAAATCAAAGGCAGATACCAACGATGCTGCCATCTGACGACTTGATTGCGAGATAGATCAGAGACATCGGCCACGCCGGGTTTTCGTCGAGGTTTGACAATCATCCAGCCCACATGACTCCATAGGAGTCCTTTGTGAGCCGAGTAGGGGTCTAGATCGGTGTCAGTGTAACGATGATGAGCTCGATGCCCACGAGCCCACCAACGGATACTACCCTCAACGGCGCCAGAGCCACCGAGAGCGAGGAAATATTGGAGCGGAAGGGAGGCATTGTAGGATCGATGGGCCCAAAGACGATGATAACCGGCGGTGATGCCGAGACCGGTGAAGTAGTAGTAGAGAATCGACCAGGCCAAGGTTGAACGATAGAGGGGCGTAGTGAAAGCACCGTAGATGGCCAGGATGGGGACGACGGTCAAGGCCAAAGTGGAGATCATATTGATCTCACGATAAAAGTTGCACCAGGTGATTGGAGGGAGTGGCTTTTCCTTGCGCAAGGTGCGTTGAACGTAGCCTGGAGATGGATATAAAGCAATCTCCTCAGCAAAAAAATAAATATAGATTATACCAAAATCGATTAAATTGGGAAGCTTACTATCATCATCCACCGCAGTTTCCTCATCATCTTCCCAAGTATTACCAACTTGAGATCTGAGGCCTCCCAAGCCCTCTGACTCGCTAAGATCGGAATCGGGATCATAATCCGGCAAGTTCTTGCGTTGGCGCTGACGGAGATGAGGGGCGGTGGCGGGAGTTGAAGGTGAGGGTTTGGACATCCTGATGGGAGCTCGGGAGAGAATTTCTTGGAGTCCGAAGCGTTCGTTTTTTAGGGCAGCTTGAGTCAATATAGCCGATCCGATTGAGTGCAACCAAGCACTCAGGTGACGATGATGATAAAGTGGTAGGTAAGGTTGCGGGAGAGTTTTGAGATGGTCAAGAGACTATGTATGAACCACGCTGAGGATGAGCTTGCAATGGGAAACAGAAAGCGTTGCAAGGTGATCGGAACAAGTTAGAAAGTAGATGGACTGTAGATAGGTAAATACCACAATATACAGATGGGGAAGGTAAAAGAGGAGATAGGGAGATGTGTGAAGGCGCTCCTGATCAGTTCTCTTTAAATCCCTATCTTGTCGTGCTTGACTTGTGTGTGTGTGTCTGCTGTAGTGGTGGGACTTGCCTGGGGGAGGTCAAGAAGAGGAAAGAAGTATGAGCGAGGAGCTAGTGGTCAACAACAACGGACAAGGGTCGTTGATGATGATCGGGCGAAGGCTGGCTGTTCGAGCGAAGAGGGTTATAAATCAACCTTTCACAGCTTCTGCGTCGCCAGTCGGTCAGAGCAGGGCCACACATGGACTTACACGGGGATGTCATCAGCAATTGTTTGAGCATGAAAAGTCATCTATCGATTTTATCCTCAATCAAGTCCATACAAACCACATAAAAGAACCAAACTGCCTTGGACCCTTGGTATTTATGACGTACAGCAAAAAACCTTTGGGGTGAGCTGTGGATGGATGTATGCGTGCTCTCAGAATCGGAAGGGGTAAACTGATGATGATGACGACGATCGGAAATCGGCTCTTCAAGAGAGTCTTGAACCAGCAAGTCATCATCAAACTTGTACTTTCGTCGGTCCTCTTCCCCTTTGATTTCTCATCCCAACCTGGGTGGGTTCGAAAGCTCGCTGGTTGTAGCACATGCTCTTTCATCGATCCCAAAGGCTTCCTCCATATTCGGATCACATGAAACTGTGCTTTTAAACGCTTCTTCAATACCAACAAAACTCTTCACCCTGGCCCATCCTCGCCGTCTCCCGACTGGATCCTCATCATTGAGGGGCCACCTACGATCCGGTGCCCTTTTTTGTTCTGGTCTGAATGTGTATCATCCGCAAGTCGGCTGTCTATCCAATCTCAGATGGATGCTAATCAGTGATTTCTACATTCGATCTTTCTGAACCTTATACATTGTACTTTCGATCGAGCTGACGATCGGAGAAATTCAAACCCACGTACTCCAAAAGAGGCATTCTAAGAATCAGTTGCTTTTTTTTATGTCAAGCCATCCTTCTTTTGCAATCTATTTTCTCTCTCTGATCAGAGAATCTCCAAAAAGGAATCAGTGCCCAAAGTATGTTAAACTTCAAGACTTGTTTGAAGCCCAAATCAGGATGGTAATGTATACATTCAAAGAAGACCCAAAGTAAACATCTGACTCCCATGGTGATAGTTGTGTTTCCCCGAGGACATTCTGCCCACCTGATTGGGTATGTATTGGGCACCACAAGGTACCTCAGGAAGAGGCCGATCCAGGGGATGAGAGGTCGTCGATGTCCGGTTGCTGTTCAGCTCAGTCGATCAACTGACTTGTACCAGCGAAGCTTAACCGGCTGGCTCAGATCATGATCGAGTCTGTCTGTTGTTCCATGCCAATGTAAACCGGTTTGCTGGCCTCAAACTGATTATGTACACAATCACCTTTTTGAGCTCATTTGGAAATTAATATTCAACAATTCAGCACAACAAAGTATCAATCCTTTTCCAGCTGAACTGCTGGATCTACATTGATAAATACTATTTTCCTCTTTTTTTGTTCTTCTAAAATTGATGTATGGGTTGTTTAAAATTTGATACCTGGGTGAATAAATCCCCTTGAAAGGAAGCTATGATGAAAAAAATCAGAAGGTTGGTGCTTGTCCTCATCAGGAAGAAGAAGAAGAGAAAATAAGATATATCATAGATGATCACATTTCTTTTCCACAGAAACTTGTAGCATAAATAAGAAGGGGCTCCTTTGATCTCAGTGGTTAGACATATATCACTGATCAGATACTAGTACATGCCTCCATTTTTGGGGATTTTTGGTTGGTAATTTTATTTGCCCCAAAAGTTTTTTTTTTACTTGATGACCTTTGGGTTTTTTCTTGAGTTTCCCATCTTTCTGTCTCCATCTAACACCGGCATTGACAAATGTGAAGTGGAATTCAACACTGGTGTTAGATTGCATGTCAGTTTTTTTGGCCCTCTGATCCTATTTATTAAGTTATATGTAGATTGAATAGCAATTTTTGCAGTGATAATGCTCATACAAAAAACTTCTCTGCAGAATTTGAAAGGTCTTCTGATTATTCTCCCAAGAATTCACCACAAAATGTTAGCCTAAGGTGGAATTAATTTCTGAGATGTTGATCTAAAACTGTTTGGAAATGAGAAAATAAAATCAAAAAACAAGCCAGAATCAAATTCTAAAACATTTCAAACCATATTCCCTTGAAGCTTAAATAAGCCTCTTGTTTGGAGGGTTACAAAGGGCCCCTCTCTCCTGTGAGATTTTCTCCAAAGGAGAGGCTCACATAAGTTGGATTATTGTTCTGAGGGTTATAAGTTTTGAAAAAGGAATTGATGAAAAACAGGAATTATAATTGTTACTAGAACCAGAACTTATTGAGGGACTTTTTTCTCACCAAATTGGCAAAAGCCAGGAGAGAAATTCAAGGGAGAGAGTCGGCGGAACAAGGACGAGTGAGTGCTGAGTTGAGGAGGTAAGAAGGTAACGTCGTCGTTGGTGTGAGTGAACAAGGAGTGAGAGAAGAGAGAGAGAGAAGAGAACGAGAGAAGAGAAGAAACGGAGTCGAAGAGGAATGTTTAGGGGAATGGTGGATGGAGGATGTTTTGAGGAGAGAGATGCGAGAACAGTCGAACAGTGTAGGAGTGGAGGTGGTTAGTTGATCGAGGGAGCAAGTAGTTGATCGTTGACAGAGACTGTTGAGTTAACATCGATTGAGGTCGTCGTGATGGCTTTTATAGATGAATCGACGAGAGAGTGATAGGGTCGGCTTGTGGTTGATGAGTGATCTGTATTTGATGGGATTTGTGGTTGAGATTGAGGAGTGGAAAGCCGGTTAGGTCTTGATTAGAAGAGAGAGGAAGAAGACTATGAAACGAGATAGGGAGAAGAGGATACAGAATGAGAGCAGAGAGCGGAAGGAGAGCGGGAGCGGGGAAAAGGCGCGGAAAGAGAACGGGAGCGGAGAGAAGAGCGGAGCGGGAGGAAACAAAGAAAGAAAAAAGGGAATTAAAGAAAGAAAAAGGGAATTATGAGCGAGAGAGCTGGATAATTCCAACAGGAATTTCATTTTTTTGCTTCAAACCTTTGCATAACAGAAACCTCACAGTTTCTTAAAAATCTGAATTGGTGATGTTATAGCCTGGTGTCTGACCATGCAGAAAAACAAAAATAATGGTGTGAGCAAAATCAATTCTTTGAATTTCATTCTAATAAGGTCAAATTTTAGCTGGCTAAAACTTGTGAAATTAAATAAAAAATTATTTTTTCCACAACCTTCAGACCATTAAATCCTGTCTGCATGAACAAATGGGAGATGACAAGATATTTCATGGTGTAGTTCAAAAAGAAAACGGTTTGAAATTTTGGAAGAGGCTTGATAAAGAAGCACATAGCTACCACAGCTGTCATGGACTGGTGAGACCGGACATGGGTGTGGACACATCCGGTGGAGATCCAACAAGATTTTGAATTTCTCAACTCTTATTGGACACAATGTGTACAGATTTAGGAGGATTGATAAAGGATGTTTGTGCCATAATTTACATAAAAATCATAGTATTTTTCATGCCAAGCAGTTTCCTTAGGTCTGATGATCTACTGGGTCATTTGAGGGATTTAGTGATTTAGCCAGAAATTTGGCTGTATGTCCTCAGGCTGGGGGAGCCACATTACATCCAAGTCCCTCACTGCAGGTGGGGGTCCTTTGGGCCCAAGGAGGTACTTATGTTAATTTCCACTGAAATAGATGTCTAAAATTTGAAACCCAAGCATCTGCAACCTTCTTTTGAGGATTTCACCTCAATAGAAATTCAAGAATTGTTCAGATGACAAAGACAATGAGTAATAATGAGCAAGCCACCTGTTCCTGATGGTAGTTTTGCAGGATCAAGATGAAAGATGTAGGACTTATACACAGTATCAGAAAATTAATGAATATCTGCAACTTACCTTCCAACATAGATGGATACAGGAGCTCACCATCAGGAAAGAAATTTTTTAGATGTGATAATGAAAGAACAGGAACACTTGTAATATAAGGAAGACTTATGATAAAAAGATGGATTGGATGATTTTAAGAATTAGAGAATGGAATGTTTAGTTTAGCTTGATGGTCAGTTGGAAAGATGAAAATGGACATTGTGACATGATTCATGAATAATGAAGATTAATGAAAAAAGGTGGGGAATTTGAGGCTGAGAATGTTGGTTTATTCAAGTCTCTAGAGTAGAAATAGGTTGAAGATTCTGAGATATTTTGAAGAGCAAGCTGATTTGAATCAAGAAGAGGAAGATAAAGATTGTGTGTGTGAATATTAGAAGAGTGATGATGGATTTGTGTGGCGAAAGTTGGGAGACAACTGTGAAGCCTCTGTCTTGAGCTTTCCATGTGTAATTAAAGCCAAGCACAAAGCAACTCAAGATTTCTTATAACAGCCAAGTTGAATAAAAATTGAAGATGAACTGGTGAAATGAAACAAACAGAGTTTATGGAAGAAAATGCATTTCAAGAATAGTATACAAGAAAGATTTTGGAATCACAGAAATTCAATTAAACAATTCCAACAGGTCCTAAATCCAAAATGAATTTTTTATATAATTTCCTGGAATGCTGTTTTTTTTTGGTGAGTTTTCAACATGCATATATTGGGGGGAAAAGGATTGAAAGAAATCAAGAATGGCTCAAAGCTCCATTCAGGTGATAAAATTAAATACAAGTTTTGGGATGGACAGTCCAGCTCATGATGAATCTCAGTCTACCCCCTTAGAAATTATTTATCTAGTTTTAATCTCTGGATTTAAGAAGTGATGGGCTGCTACACCACTATGCTAAACACCCCCTAATGTTAGCCTAGCAGTCCTCAAAACAAGCAGACAAGCATAGCAGACCTCAAAACAGTGCACCAAAACTGTAGTGTTAGTGCACTGTTAATCCCACTACACTATCGCTTTTAGCAGCAAAAACTACTAACATGTGCTGTAGTGCAGCATAGGGGGCCCTTTTTTATGGCCTGCACACATAGAATTAGCACATTCATGGCAGAATTCCACTGTACGATCCTCAATGTTAGCAGAACTCTGCTATTTTACACTGCACTAACACTATGGTTAGCATAACTGGCCCATCACAGCATCTGCATCAGTAGTTAACTTAGCGCAGATTAAGGCACCTAGTCAAGCCTTGCAACCACACCAGTCCAGATCAAAACAGGATCAAATTGACACAGATCTCCATTTGGAGCTAGTTGGGTCTAAATAAAGACCTCACTAATCCTGGGATCAAGTGCTCCATGCATATTCAAAATGCATGAAGGCCTTCCCATAGCTGCAAACTAGCTCCAATTGAGTCGGAAAAACTGATTTCAAATCCATAACACATATTAGATCTAGGGTCTTAGTTAAACGACTCCCAAATATTGGAGTTCCGACTCCCAAATATTTGGGACGTCACTAAGACCCCCTGCGGACGGTCCGCAGGCCGTCCACCCCCGGAGATGGGAGTCGGACCTCCCAAACCTTCAACAGGTTTGGGAGTCGGTCATCCCCAAAAAAAATAAAAATAAAAGATAAAAAAAATAAAAAACCCGGGGGTTTTTGGGAGTCGATCTTCAAAAACCCCCAGGGAGGTGGCGAGTCGGCGCCGGTGTAAGACTCAAAAGTGGTTGTGAAACCCTTTTGCTGAATTGAGAAGGGGAAAAATGGAGGTGCAAACTCTGCCCTTCTATACTATCAGAAACAAGACCCCCAAGCTTAGCTTGGAAAGTTTTAATAACATGATAGGATTGGTCGGTTCCGGTATAAACTTTGTTTGATGAAAGGTAAAGGTTGAATATATAATTGCTTATAAAAGAAACTGTTATGTTGTGTAACAGGTGAAAGGTTTATATAATTGTTTGTAACTGGTGAGTTATATATTGATTGACTGCTGAGTAGTGAACTGAGTGAGTGGAATGCGCTGAATGAGGAGACAACAAATGGGGGGAAGAGAGCCTCCTTTTATAGACAAAAGTGAGGGAATTTAGCTTCAGGGCAGACAAGAAAGAGTGATTTTAGCTGGCCTGTAGGTACAAATGAGTGAATTTAGCTAGTCTGATCATACAAGTGAGGGAAATTAACCAGTGAGGCTGTGTACAATTAATGTCAAAGGCTGTGCTGCAGTGCGTAAATAATGTGAGAAAGTGTCAAATGAGGCAATAAAGTAGCTCGCGGAAAAATCCAGCTGTTGTCATAAATGAGGTGAGAA